GCCACCGAGCCCAGCTTCTTAAAAAATATTTAAAGGCCGGGCTCGGTGGCTCAGCCTGTAATCTCAGCACTTTGGGAAGCCGAGGCGAGTGGATTGCCTGGGCCCACGGGTTCAAGACCAGCCTGGACAATTTGGGGAGACCTATCTCTACAATAAATTAAATATTAGCCAGGTGCAGTAGTGCGCACTTGTAGTTCCAGCTACTTGGAATGCTAAGGTGGAAGGATCTCCTGAACCCAGAAGGTTGAGGCTATGGTGGCCACGAGTGTGCCACTGCACTCCAGCCTGGGCGACAGAGTGAGACTCCAACTCAAAAAAGAAAAAAAAAATTAAAAATTAGCCGGATGTGGTGGCGAGCACCTGAAGTCCCAGCTACGTGGGAGACTGAGGCTGGAGGATTGCCTGAGCCCAGGAGGTTGAGGCTGCAGTGAGCTGTGATCATGCTACTGCACTCCGGCCTGGGTGACAGAGTAAGACCAGACTCAAGGAGAAAGAAAAAAATTGGGGAAGGTTTGCTCCGAGTCAGGCATTGAATTCTGACATGGCTGTCCCTGTGTCCATTTCCAGAGAACACTGAACTCCCAGATTTGCCCAGGCCCCAAGGCTACCGGGTGGAGGAGTCAGGGCTGTGTCTGTCATCTCTGCATGTGCGCCCCCAGGCCCTTCCAGGATGACCCTGAGCCCCCAGAGCAGAGAGAAGCAGGAAGGCCACGGTGGGGGCAACCTGACGATGTCCTGCTGAGCAGACAGAAGGTGCCTGGACAGCTTCTCACAGAAGGAAAACTCCGACCTTCACCTGCATTCACACCCCACCGTGTGGACTTCCCAGGTGAGGTCTCCTCTCTGAGCCTGTGTTCCTCGCCTAGGAAATGAGGGGACCGCGACCCTCCCCCGCCCCCCACCTCCTGGTCTGCAGTGGGGATTTAGCGCTCAGCTCCGGGCCATGCACAGGAAGGATTCAGCGAGGGATTGCGGCCGTTCTGCTCGGTGGTGCCGGGATCCCCCAGCCACGACGGGCCAAGGCAGAGAGAGGCCAGAAGCCAGTGGCGTGCCCAGACTCTGGCGTTGTCATCCGGGCAGCTGCCCTGCCTTTCATCCTGCTGGTACCCGCACCCGGCCCGAGCCTGGCTCTTGACCAAGACCCCACTCCCCAGGATGTGCCACACGCTACCTAGGCCTGGCCTGCCTGGCCTTTGAACGGGACACAGGGAGGAAAGGGCACAGCTTTGGGAAAGGCGTCTTCTACAGGGCCCCGGGGCCTTCCTGCCTTCTCATGGGACCGTGGGAAGGTTGGCCTCCACTGAGAACAGATGATCCCGCCCGCTCACCCTGGCTCAGCTCAGCCTCTTTATTGTTGTTTTGGTTCGGGGACTCCGATCGGTGGGAAAACTCCTCCCTGAACACCCCGATGGAGCCCGGCTGACAGCTGGCTCCCGGAGGCTGCGTGGGTTTGCCGGTGACATTCACCCAGGACTTGGGAATTTCCACTGAAGCCTCTTGTTCCCAGAGCTCAGGTTTCGCCGATTCCCACTCCACCCCAAAATCGGCTGCCAGGAAGCTGCAGGTCAGACGCAGGCGGTGTGCTGTCCCCTCTGCCCTCCGCCTCCTGCCAAAGACACTCACCGGCCCTCCTCCCCCGGGGACGCGGCCTGGTGGCACAGTCAGTGAGTGGGTGAGGAGCAGAGGTGAGCCCCGCGGGCACCCAGGGCCGGCGGGCCCATCCAGAAAGGCGGAGAGAGGTGCCTGCTCCCATGCGCCACACACACCTGGACTGTGTGTCCCTGTCCCTGGACTTTCCAGGCAGGACGTCGAGGAGAGAGCTGGGGGACCCCAGGGCGCACGTACCTTCTTCCGCAGCCTCACTTGACCCGTGATGACGGCCACCACGTACATCTTGATGACCAGCAGTGTGCTGCATAGCAGGAAGGCCGGGAGGGCCGGGCCGCTTGCCATCGCCGTCGCCAGCAGGCCGGGAGCAGGCATCTCGGGGCGGCGCGGCTCGGTGTGGGTGGGTAATCGGGCTCCGGGGCGGCCGCAGGAGAGCCGGGAGGAGGCGGGCAGAGCCAGGGAGAGGCCGGCCGCGGTCAGCACCGCCCACTCCCCGCCCCACGCGGCGCAGGGTCCCCTCCTCCTGGGAAGAGGAAGGCCCCAAACTTCTATCCCCTGGAGCTCTCAGCAGCAGAGAGCCTGGGGCTGTCCAACCCCTGGCAAATCTTCAGACACTTTCAAATCTGTTTCAGCCTGTCTGGTGGCTCACGCCTGGAGTCCCAGCACTCTGGGAGGCTGAGGTGGGAGGACGGCTTGAGCCCAGGAGTTCCAAACCTGGGTAACATAGTGAGATCTCGTTCCTACAACAAATGGAAAAAAATTAGATGGGCGTGGTGGCATGTGTCTGTAGTCCCAGCTACTTGGGAGGTTGAGGCAGAAGGATTCCCTGAGCCCAGGAGGTCGAGGGTGCAGAGAGCCATGATCTTTTTTTTTTTTTTTTTTGGA